AACAGACGAGTGAAGAGAAGATAGGACATAAAGATGCTGACAAAACTCTGTCAGTTTTGGCTCTTACTGAGGGATCATGCTTTGAACTGATGCACAGACGAAGGCCGAAGAGGAGACATATGGATGCAGTTAGAGGACATGGAGGAAGATGGAGAGAGGACAGAGTGAAATGGAGGATGACTCGCTGTGGAGACCCTGAAGAGGGAACAAGCTGTTTTCAAACTCCTTCCTGTTGAGCAGAAAGGGTTTGTCGCCCTCTTGTGGTGAAAAGATTACATGCATCAATCCATCAGTTGGGTAGAGGGACCAGCCCATGATTTATATTTGTGATTTTTGCTGCAGGATTCATTTTAATGCTGTATTTACTGATACTGCCACAATCAGAGATGGTTTTATGTATACAGCATGGGATTTTCACAATAACACGTCAAGAATGCTTTAGCAAAGCAGGCCATAGTGGATTATCTTGAGTCTCAAACTCAGGAATAACAGGACTCCTAGGGGTCGTTCCTGATGACGGACTCTGAGCAAGACAGGGTTCTTCAGAGGAGGTATTTCTGTTGACTGGCTCCTCAGTGAGTTTGAGCCTTTAAGGTTGTGGATGTTTTATCAGGTAAGCTGTCTTTTAGAGACATTACCTCATCTAGAACGTGGTCAGAAATCATGTTAATGAGGTGCTCTTGTGATAAAAAGCAGCCTTGAGCAAACATCTGACAGAGATTTTGAAGGACAACACTCTGTCTGAACAGCCCATTGCAGCATGAACTAATCAGTGGATCAGCAGATTTTCACGAGATCTGCGGTACCTACAAAGTTCAACCTTATTGCAGTTGGACAGGAACATTAAAAACGTTTTACTCATTTGTTGAATGTGTAAAAATCCCGTCGTATTCTTCTCTCCAGCTTCAGTTGTTGAGTGTTTTGTTTAATTATGAAACAAAAAGAACAACAATTACACCAAATCAATCAATTTAATATTAATAATAATAATAATAATAATAATGTAATTTTTATTTAAGCTCCCTGCAGATGCTGGACGCTGTCTATCATGGTGCACTAAGATTCATAACTGGCTGTAACTACCATCCCCACCACTGCACCCTGTATTCACTGGTTAACTGGACATCATTAACTTCACGCAGACTCTCTCACTGGTACCTTTTATCTTTAAATCACTTCTTGGTCTGCTGCCTTCATACATCTCCTCCTGTATGTCCCTGTGTGAGTGCAGCTACAGCGTGCGCTCTCAGGACATTATTACCTGCAGTGTTCCCTCAGTGAGGACTGAACTTGACAAAAGGGCCTTCTCCTACTCCGCTCCTGTTTCCTGGAATATCTTTCAAAAAGATCTGAAGCTCTCGACCTTGACCTCTCTAAGTGGCTTCAAACATCTGTTAAGTTCCTGTCTAAAACTAATGCACGCATGTTCCTGTTTTTAGTATTTTACACTGCCTCGTAATCTAGCTGGGTTTTTTTTCACCATTTTTCATTTTAATTACCATTTTATTTTCACTTGTTAAAAAAAAAAAAAATTATGCATCATTTATGGCTGTATATTGTTGTCATTGTTGTCCACTGTTGTCATCAGTCTTTGTTAAAATTCTGGTCTCTCCGGTAAATGAGTCCCCGAGGCACAATGGGATTAACCTGTTTAAATAAAGGTTGAATGAAAAATAACAATATAATAATAATAGTAATAATATAATAATAAATAGTACCTTTCAGGAACATATGAACCACCATATAGTCCATATGGAGGCGGCATCCTGTGACTTTTTGAGTAAGGCCCAGTCAAGCCTCAGGAGCCAAAGCTCACCTATCAGGCTTAAATATGAAGAAAAAAACATGTTTGCCTTTTTGGAGTTTTTAAGGTTCAGTCTAGTTCTGGAAACACAATGACATGAAGAAATAGCTTATCTTGATCTAAATGTTTTCAATGATTTTGTCCAAGATATTTAATTTAGATTTCCTTACGTTTCATTGATGAAATGCAGGATTTCATAAACCTATTTAAAAGTTGTTTTCTTTTCAAATAAAAATATTGGGGACCGGATGGAGATTATCCAAGGGCCACTTTTGGCCCTCGGACCAAACATTGCCCACGTGACATAGACCAATACATGCAGTATAAGAACCCATTAAGGCTGTGCCTGCTTTTTAAAATGCTGCTCTGTGTAAATAATTTATACAAACAAACACCTGCTTGAAGTACATAAAGAAGCAAACATATTTAAATGAAACATATTCCACATTGAAGCACTTCCCTTTATTCTGGAGCAAATAAAAGAAATCATAATGAAGCATACAGAAACACCTGAGCGCCAAAACAAGTTCTCAATCAAAAGATACAGATTTTATCAACAAAGACATCCCTTCATTTGTCCTTGTTGTTTATATCCACATGAAGAGAACAGCAAACTTTTTTGTAAAAGTTGTAAAAAAAATGTTTTGCATGAGATCTGATCTTGAGCATCATCCTTTACGGAAACAAAATGTAAATGAATAAAAGTTAATTACTTGTTTCATAAACACCCAAATGTTTGGAAACTGACTGCAGCATGCAACAACTCATAACCCATGCACATTTCATTTGCATTTTAGAAGACGTCCGTGAAATCTGACAATTCAACAAGTTAGGGGAGAAAAAACAAAACATGCTCAAACTTTCCTGAAACCCGTGCATCAGAACTGTTAAGAAGGAACTTTGGATTTAAAGATGGGCCAAACTTCAAACATTTAAAGTGTTTTCTTTCTTCCAACATTTTTCAGTCAGGTCATCTGGACAGTTTATTTTTTGCTGAAACATTTCACCTTCCATCCAGAAGGCTTCATCAGTCAAGGAAACACACAACACAAAACTGATTCTTCCCCCAACAGCTTACTCCAAAGTGGAACAAACCAGTTATGTTGGTGCTAAGATGGTCTCTTTGGCCCTCTCCCTCATCGACAGTCATGTCAAACTGGTTCAAAACCAACAAAGTCCATGCTCAATAATCCAGGTATACAATCCAACAATTTTCAGTCAGGTCATCTGGACAGATTTTTTTTTTTTTTTGTAGGGGGCGTGCCAAAGACACCATTTTAGCACCAACATAACTGGTTTGTTCCACTTTGGAGTAAGCTGTTGGGGAAAGAATCGTTTTGTGATGTGCATTTCATTGACTGATGAAGCCTTCTGGATGGAAGATGAAACGTTTCAGCACTAAAAAAAAAAAAAAAGAAACTGTCCAGATGACCTGACTGAAAATTGTTGGATTGTATACCTGGATTATTGAGCATGGACTTTGTTGTTTTCTTTCTTATACATAACAGATACAACCATAAATGAGAATTTTAAAGCATCTTGTAAAACGTCCAACAGGAATAATCAAAAATAAAGAAATACGCTCTAGAGTTGGTCCTTTAGTCGTGAGAGAGAGAGAAATCTGTCATCAGTCAAGAAAAAAATAATCCAGCAAATGATTAAATGAAATAAGCAGAGAACTGAAGCTGGACTTCAGAGGCACATAAAACAGTCCATCCTCAGGACGAGCAGCGTAAAGCTTCATAAATATATTCATTTGGCCCCCAGAGATGCCGAGCTGCAGCTGAAACGGTCACGACCTTTTGGATCCCCTCTCCTCTGAGATCTGGGCTGAGATACAGGCACATCTACAACTCGTAAACCTCCGACCACTGTGCAAACTCACCGAGACAGACAAATAAGCAGGACTATAAATAAATAAACGGTTTCTGCAGCAGTGAAAGCAGTTTGCAGAGGTCCATGCTACACATGCTCTATGGTGTCTTCTTTAACAGATTACATCACGTTTATATAATGCTTATGTCTCAGGATGAAAAATATCCCTTTATCCACTTTCACTTTACACAAATGTCACCCTGAGATTTGATGAAACACTAAAAGGTCCACTCATCATATTTATATACACGCCTCGTAAACACATTAATCGCAACCTTTGTTTACATAAAGCTTTACAACAGCCTACAGAACACATCGTTACAACGATTTCAACTAAAATGAGTGAAAACCACAAGGCACAGAGCAGGACGCAGCAGAAACCGACCGGCGATGTGTTGTGGCACTACAAGACTCTCTGCATCTTATTGCAAATGTATTCCACTGCGTTCTGATCCGTTTCTGCTCTCGATAATCCTGTGGTCACTTTATGGCTTCCAGGGACAGCCCTACACGTCCTCTAACCCACTGCACCACTGTCCTGTCCTACGTCTACCTAAGCTGGTGTTTCCGACACTTAAGACACAGGACGAACTAGTGTAGTTTTAATAGAAGTACTGAATCCTAGTCTGAATGAAGTTGCATCAAAACATTCAGAAGCAGAGTCCTGCATTTCAGAGTTCTGCATCCTTTCTTCTAAATTAAAGCAGTGAATCTTATTTAATGCAAAATTATTATGTTTTAAAGGCATAAACTGGACATTTAACAGTAAAGTTCTGTGGTAAGGTTAAGCAGCATCTTACCTGCTGTAGACAGCTCAATGAATGACCTCAGTTTGGAAAAAGTTTTATTCTGACTGAACTAACAAAACTACAGTGGGTTTGATGCCACCTTAAAACAGCTTCAACCTCCAGACCACTGGTTAGTTAAACTTTATGCTGTGGTCAGGTTTGCATTACATCATTTCAATGAACTAGTTATTAGTTCAAAGGGCAAATAGTGGCACCAGCACTTAGCTGTAGCACTTCCTGTGCAGCATGGGTTCAAACAGGGACACCATAATGCTAGCAATGTAAAACGTCTACAACAGGCCTATTCAACAAGTGATCCATGGGCCAGATACGGCCATTTAAAAAAATAAAAGATTCTGGCCCTGAAAAGATGCCAGAATTCCAAACTGACTTGTCTGAATACAAAACTAAAATATGCAACATAAGTAAAAGGTACTTCTCTACACTGAGCATCATATTAAGTTAGTATATGTCTGACTCTGTCAAAGAATCTTTGGTAAACAACAACAAAGGGTGGGTAAACAAGAGCACCTGTAAGCAGTTTTATAAACTTTTTTTATAATTTATGGCCCACTTTCAGCTGAAGTTTACTCTGGTCTATACCTATGACACAGCCATCTTAAAGCTGTTTTAATATGGAAGCAAACCAGTTTGGGCTTGGCCTTGTTCAGACTAGCTGTTAGCTTGATAGTCACTATTTCAGCAAAAGGTCGTTCAAAGGGCCGCCTACAACAAGTAAGATCATATCTCAAAAGCTTTTCACAAAACCTCAAGTTAAAACTGCTCAAAATGTCTCTTTAAAATTTCACTAGATATCTAGAGAAAGTGTGGCTACACGAGAGAATGAAGCTTAGGAACTAAAAAAAAAGAAGAATACACATCGATTTGAGTAAGAACCCTCAGCTGCATTAACCTTTTGAATGAAAAACAGTGAAGGTGTTACAGAACAGTTTGTACAGTCTGCTTCGTTGCACGACAAACGGGTTTCTGTCCTCTCCTCTTCTGTTTGATCAGAGCAACTTGCTGCTTCGCCACAATCCAAGTGAAAGTTGATTTGAACTTGCAGATGTGAGTAGGACACCAAATATCTGCTCCCCTCTGTGCTCTTTCACTTATTTGCGATCAGTTTGAGCTGGGCCACCTGAGCTTGTCCTAGTTTTGTCTGGATATTGACGGGCCTTTCGAAGAAGTTGACTACGGTGGGCTCGTTGAGCAGCGAGGCCAGGACCTGCTCAAAAGAAAAGGACCACTCCGTGTCGGTGGGGTCCTGGCTGCTGTGGGAGCTGGAGGTGTCCGAGCTCTCTGGGGTCGTGGAGGCCTCTTCTGTCGTTGCAGACTCCTCCGCAGCAGTGGTGCTGGCAGGCTTACTGGTCTCAGACGGGCTGCTCGGCTCCTGCAGCCTCCGTCCCAGCTCCTCCATCTTCAAGAGGAGGCTGGTCACATGGGCGACGGCCCGGTACAGGGACTCCTCCTCTGGATCGCCATGGAAAATATTGTAGAGTGTTTTGGAGAATTGTATGAACTGAGACTGAAACAAAAAGGTGAGATGATTTACATCATTTTTATTTTAATCCAAATAAACAAAATGAAAAGAAGCTTTGATGAATGATGCACCGAGTTACCTGATTAATTCTGGGCAGGTCCTTGATGGTTTCTTCTTTCTTAAGTATTTCATTTTGCCACTGTTTCAGATAGGTCTGCAGATCAACCTTTCCTCTGCCTGCCAGATTTATAAAGAACATTAAAAAAGAAACTTACAGTATTTGTGGTCAAGACATGGAGAGTGAAGAACTTGATGAACTTCTACCTCTCTCAGGGCTTTTCCGTATCACACCATCTTCTGGGAGGTCAAAGGCTGAAATAAAAAGGAAACATGAGCACGGAGTATTAAAGAAACCCTTCCAGACAAGACACGAGGAGGAGAGTTGTAGTAACAATAAGATTTTAAAAAGGGGGAAATGTGAGTTTAAGGGGAGGAGAAAGAGAAAAGAGGCTGACCAGAAAGTCTACTCAAGTGAGAAGAGTCTTCAGTCAGTGGAATAAAGTGCTGCCATCTTTGTTCCTTTAAGTGCAAAGGACTGCCTGTGAAAGCTAAAACACACGGACTGTGAGAAGTGAAAGGAAAGAAGAAACAGAGGCTACAGGAGAGCAAACAGGATCATTCATATGTATCTATACATCGAGTTAGGTAGATGAAGTGAGACTTTAACACCCCTGAACACTGACATGATGAAGATCCAAGTTCCAGTTGTTTTGGTTGTAAAGAGGATCTGAATAATTTGCAATAAACTGTTTTTTGCATTTTAATGCCTTTCCATAGCAGAGGATGATGTAACACAAGGGGTACGTTGATGTCCCTGTCACTGAGGGATCCAACTTTCGAGATGAGTGTTTTTTTAGTTAGTTTATTTGACAGGGACAGTGCACACAAACATAGAACACAACAAGTCTGTGACTGATGCGTTGCACAAAGAGTACATAGCTACAGCTAATTCACAACTCCAGTCCCTGGTTGGGCATTTCTATGCATTAAAATACAAACAATTTATCAATCAAAATACAGTAAGGGTACCTACGTACTCCTGCCTACATATTCATTTAGTCAACCTAACAACCTCCAAATTCATATTATAAAAACTTTACATTAAAATACAAACAATTTAAAAATCTAAATACAATAAAAATACAAAACATTTTCCTCTACAAATTCTAAAATAACTTTGCAACCCACAAATTTACATAAATATCATAGCACCTCCTCAATACCACCCCATCCTCACACATTCAGCTAACATACTAAAAATTGTAAATATAATACTAACTCACTAATACATACACTCCCACAAAGACTTTTGCATCCATAAAATCCGAGTATTAAAAATGATCACATCATTGATTTTCCTTTAGCCAAGATTTAGTCATATAAACAAACTTTTTAAGTTCAGGTATAGCTTTTACATGTGGGGGCAATAAGTTACATAATGTTGTGCCTTTATAGGAAAAAGAAGTCTGACCAAACGAGGTTCTAGAGTTAAGCAATTTCTGTTCTAAAGATCCTCTGGTGACTCTGCAACTGTTTTGCTTCTGTATAAATGAGCTCAGTGGATGAGGAGCGAATCTACTGATACACTTAAAAATTAATTTAAGAAAATATAAGTTAGAAAAGCTTTCAAAACTCATTAAGTTATGTTTGTCCAGGATTAGACAGTGATGTGATCTTATTGGCGTTTTGTCCATTACTTTTATTGTTTGGTTATACAATGAGACCATTGGCTTAATAGCCGTTGTAGTAGCCTGGGCCCATGATGTCATACAATATGAGATATGAGAGAATATCATGGCATGCATATACTGAAGAGCAGCCTGTACAGGAATATAAGGGCTTATTAATTTGAAACAATTAAGGTTTCTTTTGACTTTTTTGGAAATGTTGTTTATATGATTCTCAAATTTTAGATGTGGATCTAAAAACAGCCCAAGATATTTGAATTCTGTTACATTTTTAATCATTTCATCCTGTAAATAAATTTGAAAATTTTGTTGTACTGTTGTTTTCTAATGGAAAAGCACATTGACACTGTTTTACTTTACACCATTGCATACAAGAGGTAGGTCGTTTATAAAGAGACTGAAGAACAGTGGCCCTAATATAGAGCCCTGTGGAAGTCCCCTTTTGATGTATAAAAATGAAGATTTTTCTTGAGCCACTTTAACACATTGCTGCCTGTCTTGGAGATATGAAGTAAACCAGCCCACTGCTTCATCTGAAATTTTAAAATATGCCATTTTAGATAGCAGCTGACTATGACTTACTGTGTCGAACGCTTTTTAAGATCTAAAAATACTGCCCCAACCACCTTTCCCTGGTCAAGAAACTTCTATATTCTTTTCTAGACAGGAATTGAACAGGGAATGCAAGTAAACCTTAATGTTTTTGGAACAAGTCAAGTGGGTAGTAGTTACACTGTGTAGAAGCACAATTCATTTCAATTCAGTTTATTTATAAAGCGCCAAGTCACAACAGAAGTCGTCTCAGGGCACTTTACAGGAACAATCATATACTGGTACACTATGAAAGCCAATTAGTAAAATTATCTAAGGAAGGAAGCTAGCAGACATGTGGAGTCTTCACTTTGTCGCAGTCTCCCATCCTGAGCAAACACAAAGGCAACAGTGGAAAGGAAAAACTCCCTCATAACAGGACAATAACAGAGGTAGGTTTTATTTTATTTTATTGTCCGAGGCGACGCAAAATGACAGATTCTGGCGAGCTGAGGAAGCAATTTTATCCATCACCAGGTGCAGTGATGGAGCCAGGGAGTGGCCAGCGGTGGCCTTGGTCACTACAGAACAAACTTCAACCACCCCAAGGGCCACCCAGATCATTTGAGGAAACTATATTTTAAGCAATTAAAACTGAACAGCACAATTTCCTCAAACGATAGTGGTTGGTTTACTATATATGTGGAAATCTTGGATTTTGACGAGGTAACCCAATTTTTGAGTAATCATTTCTTGCGCCTAGCTGTAGCCACAAACAAAAATGGAAGTTGGCACGTTGCTTATTTTTGAAGTTGTCCAGCTCACAAAATGGGCAGAAGAGCGTAGGTATTACCAGTTCCCTTTTTTGTTCCGTGACGAGGGACAACAACACAACTTAACAAGGAACTTATTTTTTTACAACAAAAAAAAAACATGAAAATACTATCCATCCATCATCTTTTACCCCCTTCTTCCATTTTGGGTCATGGGGGTCGCCGGTGCCCATGTCCAGCAATCACTGTGCAAGGGGCGGGGCACACCCTGGACAGGTCTCCAGTCCATCACAGAGACAAACGAGACAAATAACCATTCACTCTCTCACTCACACCTGGGGACAATTTAGAGTTACCAATCAGACTAACATGCATGTTTTTGGTCTGTGGGAGGAAACTGGAGTACCTGGAGAAAACCCACGCATGCACGGAGAAAACATGCAAACTCCACCCAGAAAGGCCTCCAGACCGGGATTTGAACCAGGGACCTGCTCGCTGAGAGGCAACCAGTTGCGCCACCGTGCTGCCCATGAAAATACTATGTTTTACATTTTTCTTTTTTTAGATAGTTGTAGCAAAACATTACTTTTCTTTCACAGCAATCTAACAGTTTTGTACAGGACTAACATCCCCCCCCCTCCATATTTCTTCTGGGATTTTTGCCTACTTCTAAAACAACATTTAGAATGAAGACCTGCTTTACAACCATTTTTATCTTTAGTTTTATTCACATATTCTGGTGAAATTCAGTTTTAAGAAGTGTCTGAGCCACTAAAGTGTTAACTTCTAGGCCACTTTAAGTGACTATTTTTGGAAGCTTCAATGCTCAAAAACAACAATTTTACTAATCAAGCTCAACATTTTCCTGCAGATTTTTAAATTTCTTGTCTTTTCTTACATCATTAAATTTAACAATTTTATCTGAACTAAGTGTTAAATACTGTAAGCATGTATCATAAAATCCTTCCCATTGTAAAAAAGTGTACCTTTAAAAAAAACATTTACTTTTAAACTACCTTCTAACTACTATACCTAAATTCCTTCTTGTTAATAGAGATGTGCTACATTTCATCTCTGTGCTTCAACCCCCCACAGTTGACCACGTGTGTGCAAACATGCGTGTCTTTTTCATGCATGGATTAAGAGTCAGCTCTGTCATGCTGTCTGTTAACAGCTTACTGCTGCGTTAAGAGCACAGCCTGAGGTCTGCACCTGAATCTGATCAATATTCTCTTCTGCAAGCACAACAGTGAAAAACTCAAACCTGATTTCAAATTTCCCATATTTAGTTGTAAAAAACAAACATTTTTGTGCCATTTGCTAAATAATATTGATCTCCAGATATAATCTCCATTTTACTTTGGTGATATCTCATGCTGTGGGGCTACAGGAGTGGACTGTGGACTTCAGCCCGTTGACGGTACAAAACGTTTAACTGTCTTTGCCACCCAAACACATGTGACCTGACTGAGCGGTTGCTGCTCTCTTTATCTGATTAGTGGAAACAGCTGCTCGTTTGGACCAAAAGATTCTCAGCTCTAAAAAGCGCATAATTACATTTCCCAAATCAATGAAGTGTTTGCTTCACTTCCAGCACCGTTTAACTGCAAAGAATACACTGAAAACAAAACTGTGCTTCAAGCCTGGGATGTGAGCTGAATGCCTTGTACAGCACTGTGAACTGTAGCACCAGGATGTGACCCGTCCTCGGTGCTGAAGCAATGCTCACTCAGACACAAAGTAGGCTTTGCTGCCTGACGCTCATTGGCCTGGAACAGCACAAACGGTGACTCAGGGCTCGTCTGCTGCTGCTGTCAGTTGTAATTTGAGAAGCTCGTTCCTTTCACAGATCCCCTTTTCAGAGAAACCGTCCCTCTGGCACATGCCCTCACAGCGCCTTGCACCCATCGTTGCCATAGCAAGTTGTTACATTCAAAATGTGCTATTCTTACTGCCCAGCCTGCAAGCAGGCAGTGACACATCATGTACATAGATAAGAGCTTCAAGGACGGCGTCTTACCCCAGGCAAAGTGCTCACTCAACAAAATCCTGAGTAATGGGCTGGATTATTAAAATGACAAGTCATATGTGTTCAAGCACTGCAAATCACATATGACACTTTGACCTTGACTGCTTCTGTGAGTCCTTTTAGATAGCGTCACTGCTCTCACATGGTGGGCAAATATGGAAAACTGGTACTTCAGGAGTCCAATAAATTTGTGAAGAAAATGCCTCAAATATATTCTTGAAGTGTTTACACAGTAATATAATGACTTCAGGGTTTGGTGCAATTTTCAAGGTAATGTTTTTTTAATCACTAACCTGGAGGCAGGTGGAGTTTGAAGAGAAATTTCAGTTTATTCGTAAAAGATCCACTGTATAAATTATCTGAGGAAGAAGAAAGACAACGTTAAAGCAGCAAGGATGCTGAAAATAAAATATGCCTTATGAGAACAACGCATACTACACATTACACACCCGTCAACAAATAATTATATAGCTATCCTAAACCAGCAAAGACATTGAATAACTTTTGACCTTGGTTTGTGACTTTGACCTTGAAGCTGAGGTCATGAAATGTGTTCTGTCTAGAATAAAGCCGATCAATCAGACAAACATACCGAGGGCGTTGCAGAATTCTTTAAAATTGATGAGACCATCCTGGTTCTCGTCTATTAGGCGGAAGATCCAGAGGGAAAGGGTGCTCTTGGAGGAGCAGAAAGACCAGGGTTCAAGCAGTGAAAAGAGCACGCCGAACTGTTGGAAACCTAGCTGGTACTGCTCCAAATAGGCCAGACTGGGATCGTGGTGGAGCAGAGCTGGGCTGTTCATGGTCCAGTAGCAGCTGAGGAAGTGCTGCCTCTGAAAAAAGACAGACGAGCGGATGAAAAAGCATAAACTCTATTAATTTGAGTGTTTGAAAAGACCAAGGAGGAGCTGTTTTTATGTCTTGGACTCACTTTGAACAAGTTATAAAGCTCATCAAGCTGCGTGACACTGAACCTGACTTCCTGGGACACCACTCGGATCTGAAAGCAGACACAGACAACGCTTACAGCCACGATTACAATACAGTAGTCCTTCGCTACATCGCAGACTCACTCTTTCACGTTTTTTCAACAATTTCAACTTTAATATTACTCAAGTGATTGGGACGGTACGGGATAAAACATTAATGGAAAAAAAACTTTGGACAGGCGCTGCCATTTTGTAGTTTTATTCCAATAAGCCTACACTGTAAGGCCAGTAAAAAAAGAACTACACTACCCAGAAGCCAACAGTTTCCAGGGACTGCTTTCTGCCAAAATGGAGGGAAAGTTTTGATCCGATCCGAACCCGACTAAAAAGTTTGGTCTTTATTCATAGTGACTTTGGCGCTCAGTGGATGCAGAGAGCCGTATGGAACTGACCGGGAATTGGACCAGGACTACTTCCAGCCTCAGCGGTTAGTCTGAATTCTGCTTGCCAGCTCAGGAAGTCTCTCAAAAGCATTTTGGTGCTCAGTGACTGCAGAGACAATCAAAACCAGACCAGAACCAGACCAAGGCTGGTGAGTGCCCATGTAAAATGTTGCAGTAGCTACTGTACAGTACCAGTGTTTCCCCTACCATTATAAAAGCGGGGCGCTCTGCCCATCTACCGAACCGCGCACTCCCTCCTGCCCAAAACCATCCACCTGTGGGCACTGACATAACGCTAAGCTAGCAGCTCGCAATACAGCTGTGCTAGCTAAAAAGCCAAAAGGCAGCCTCTTCCCTCATGAACCCTCATGCTGACACCCCCACCCACTACCTCTACAACTGTCAGTACAAACAGTGCGCAGCTCAGATGTGTATCCCCCCCCCCAAAAAAAGTGTCAGTGCAAAAAGCGCGCAGTTGTGTCTCTGTACCCCCCCCCCCACCCCCCCCGCCCAAAACCACCGCGGTAAAAACAAAACCCCTGGGGTCCCGGGACTTTTTTTCCCCCCCCCCCCACACACACACACACCAAAAATCACAGACACGAGTGCACTGTCATGGCAAGTTATCTAGGGGAAACACTGAGTACATATATGCATGCAATTAAAATTACTTAGGTTTAAGAGTTCAGAACATTGCAAGAGTGTGGGAAGGGTTTATAAAGCCTTAAAATATATATAAATACTAACATAATGTTCCTACTTCGTGGTTTTTCACCTATCGTGGGGGTGTCTGGAACGTAACCCCCACAATAATCGTGGGACTACTGTACAGTGATATAATTCCTGTAATCAGACTTACAACGTTTTGTTTGGTCGTGTCCTCCAGAGTCTGGATCACATACAGTTTGTTGCGTTTCCGTGAACTCTCAACGTCCTCTGAACGGATGTGTCCATGTTTCTATTTAAAAATAAAAGAGAGAATGACGATCGGAGCTGCAGCGCAAACATCGCCGACTAAAACTGAATCTTGTGCTACCTCGTAGGCCTCTCGGGTCAGTTCACTGATATCTACAGTGATGTGGGAAGCGTTCTCATTATTTCCTACTGAGGCTTGTTGCACTGTGGGAGGCAGTGGGCTGTCTTTATTGGTCACACTGTCAAAGAACCTGAAATAACACCATCAGAAACAAAAGAGAACAGTTCGGAGACGTTACATTTTGAAGTATATTGCTCTGCATGCATACAGACCTGTTGAGGATGGTGACAGCTTCTGCATCATCATTGCAGCTGATGAGAGCCTCCATGTTGTAGTCCAGCACAGCCAGGCCGAGCTGCAGAATGGCCTTTATGCCGTCGTAGAAGAAGCAGTCCACCACGTTGACGGCGCTCTCTATGGGCAGGACGCTGATGAACAGCGTGAGAAACCAGGACAAGGACACGGACGAGAAGAAAGTCAAGTCCGTCATGTGTTCAACCAACTGGGGGAGGTTTTCTCTGATCAGGTCCTCGAACACAGCCTGGTCAACCAAAGCACCTGAGAAAATATCAGACTGTTTTATTTTCGATTTTTTTTAAATTACCTACCAAAAAAAGTTCAAATCTAAAGCTTCGGGTTTCACCTATAATTCGGCGGTTGAAGTAGTCGGGCAGCATCCTCTCGCAGACAGCTACCAACAGCCAGAAAGCCTCCTCTTCTTTTGCGTACAGAAGAAGAACCGAGGTCAGAATGTTCATGGCCTAAAGAGGAGCAAAAAAACAAGAATTTGTTGGTTCTACACTAATTTTTCAGAGTTTATTGTATGAATGTTTATGAAGAATTCACTATCCATTTTTATTCTGCATGTTTTTCAGCATCTTTCTTGTTCTACCATTTTTGTGTTGTTTCAACAAATCATATCAAAACTTTCAGCTTGTTCAGGAGAAGGGTGCTATGACTTTTGGTATTGGTGCAACTTTAGCTTTTTGAAATATTTAACCTTTTCTGTCACTTTTTTCTTATAGAAAATGAACTGAGCTCATTTTACATTTATATCTTCAAATATTTAGATCTGTTTACAACCTTTTACTGCTCCTTTCACATTTTGTTCTGCTTAAGCTTCTTTCAGCTATCTTGTGCAAATGTAAAAAAAATTTCAGCTACATTCAGCTAATTTCATCCGTTTTGTGAACCTTTCAACATATTTCTGCTAACTACAACATCTTTGGGCTTTTTCTCACTTTTTCTGCTAATTTCAACTTGTTATGCTCCTTTCAACTTATTTCTGCAAGTTTCAGCTTTTTCAGTTAACAGTTTTCTTCTGCTAACTTGTTCTTCCATTTCAGCTGCAATTCAGCATGTTTTTAGATAATTTCAGCTGTTTTTCTGCAAATTCTTCAGCAATAAGCATTCACACTGCATTTCCTGCGAAAATGCAATTTCTCTAGTCACCTTTGACTAGAAATAGATCGCTAAAATAGATATAGAATAAAGGCAGACTGCAAATCAAGATTTTCTTTTTAATTTCTGCATTGCCAGCGGCATGTAATGCAGGTTCCCATGGCAACAAGAAGCATGTAGTTTGTAGTACTATAATCATGTAGCAAACCAGGAGCAAAACTCAACAGGTTTGCATTATAATGTGTTCCTTCAGCAAATAATCTATAAATGTGAACTCCATACTGAATTACGTCATTGCTTGTGTTATAATAAAATAAATCACAATAAATGGCTGCAATTTATTCAATAAAAATAAAAATAAACCTACATTTTTCCTCATTCAGTCCTTCTCTGACATTTAACAAATATTTCATACCTGAAGAAATTCACATACCTGACAGTATCCAATTTTGGGGTTCCTGTATGCGTAGGCAGTGAGGACTCTGCGCAAAGCCGAGATTCCCGTGTCGCTCTGAAATGCCGGGTGCTCAGGCAGAGAGCGATGCAGATCCCTTTCGATCTCGTCTGTAGCCAGCGTGCTCGTGCCCAGAGACTGCTCCACCAGCTCACTGTAATAACCGGGGTGAGTGGCCATGTCGTTTACAGCGCCTGCGGGACCAAAGTCACAGTGACTCCAAACACAGACGCTGCAGTGATCTCTCACCAGCCAGCTTCCTTCTCGTAAAGCCCTCGAAGGGCCTCGTTAAGTGACAGCTTTCACTGCATGTCACTTACCGTACAGTAAATGAAAGCGTAATATTTGATGTACCTGAAAACAGCATCCACAGCTCTCCCCTCAAGGATTCAGGAATGCCACGAACGATCAAGTCTCGTGTCTTTTTGGTGAAAAACATACTAGTCCCACGTCCATATTCAGAAAAATGGATGTTCCAAGACTGCTCCTTCATCTTCTCTTTAAGCTATAAATTACATAGACAGGAAACAAACTCAGTTCGGTTGCATTTCTTCGTACATGAAGGACTTTTATTTATTTGAATCAGTGGCATGATTTGAAAAGTTGAGGATATGAGCAGAAATCTGGGGCCTACCATTTTAGGGTCAAGGTTTTCAACATCCTGGGGGTGGAAAACAGTCATGAGAGCCTTGGTGCTGACAGCCTTACTGTTGTCTTTCTGTCCCACCATGAGAGTTACGTCCTCCGGATTGTCCTCGAAGTGATTTATGAGGGACTGGCATTCCCCTCGTATGCCCTTAGCATTAAAGACATATTGTAAATCATGTCAGTGGTGGAAGCTACTGCAGGCCAGAAGATGAAAACGGCACCAATAAAAACACTGAATCATCCCACCTCTGATGAACCAGAGTGCTGTGGGCTGGCACTGATCCCACACCTGCTGCGGATCGTGTTTGCGAGACGCTGGTAGTCCCGCACCTCAGAAAAACGCAACGCTCTCTTGCCGCGCACACACACCGTTAAAGCCCTGCTGCTGGAATCTGGCTTCTCGACACTTACAACCTGTCATAAGGCAAAGTTGGCAGGTAACATGTAGGTTATTATTATTTTTCATCTGTGTTTTATTGATAAGAGGGATACCGCTTTACCTCTCGCATTGGAATGACAACATGGCACTGACTTCCATCTTGACTGGCAAAGCACAAGTAGTTCTCAGACAGGCAGACCTTGCCCAGTGTGTTAAAATGGCTGAAGGGCACCCACAAGTAGCTCTCGTGCACCTCTAACAGGTTTTCCTCTTTGGGAAGCCTGAAAAACGTCCGGAACTGCTGACTTTTTGCATGTGCTTCAAGGCCTCTGTAAGGAAAGTTATAGCGAACAATTAACCCCAAAACACCACTTTAATTTTAAATCAGTGTTCAGCATCACCTAATACCTACACTTCATGACAGTTTTCTGATATTTTACATGGCATAGAACAGGCTGTAATTTATTTCACTTTATTATTACATTTGTTTCTTTTGATTTAATGTTAAAGCAGTAGTTCAAATCTGTGGAACCATTGTAAACAGTTAATGTCTTACCTGTTGCAAATAACTTTCTAAAGATCTCAGTTTGGAAAAAAAAAAATTCTGCTCATATTTACAAGCTCGTAGGTAGTTTGAGAAGAGCCGAGACCAAAGTGATTTGCAGCCATCTTAAAAGAACTCCAATCTCAAATCAAGAGGGACACATACAACACTTTACGCCCGTCGACAATCTATTATACAACAAACTATAGCAATGGCCCTGACAAGACCTTGAATAACCTTTGACCTGAATTTGTGACCTTGACTTTAGAGTTAGGGTGATGAAAAGATGACGTGACACGCTGTCTAATGGTGGTAAAAATGCAATGTTTTACACAATTATCCAAGGAGGGCGCCCTCCCTGGCAACAGAACTGAGCACCCTCCCTTTATTACTTATTACAGTATACCGTAATTTCTGGACTATAAGCCACTACTTTTTTCACAGGCTTTGAACACAATGGCTTATACAATGCTGCAGCTAATTTATGGAATTTTTTGGGATGTGCTAATGAGCTTCATGCCGCCAAAACATTTCGTCACACCTGGGCGCTCACATAGCTGCCCAACACACGTCTCTATTGGGGGGTGGGTCCTTGTGACTCAATGAGACTACCTGTATAAAGAAAGTAAAAAATAAAATTATATATGTATATATGTATGTAT